TTCAAAAGCATCAATTTTTCGGCACTCAGCTTTCTTCACAGTCCAACTCTCTCAGCCATACAGGATCACTGGAAAAACCATAGCCTTGACTAGACAGAACTTTGTTGGCAAAATAATGTCTCTGCTTTTTAATATGCTATCTAGGTTGGTCATAACTTTCCTTCCAAGGAAGTAAGCATCTTTTAATTTCATGGCTGCAATCACCACCTGCAGTGATTTTGGAGCCCCCCAAAAATAAAGTCTGACAGTTTCCACTGTTTCCCCATCTATTTGCCATGAAGTGACGGGACTAGATGCCATGATCTTAGTTTTCTGAATGTTGAGCTTTAAGCCAACGTTTTCACTCTCCTCCTTCACTTTCATCAAGAGACTTTTTAGTTCCCCTTCACTTTCTGCCATAAGGGTGGTGTCATATGCATATCTGAGGTTATTGATATTCCTCCGGGCAATCTTGATTCCAGCTTGCGCTTCTTCCAGCCCAGCGTTTAGAACTTCATATGAACAACACAACAACTTGTTTTATAGTATTTTGTACTTTTAGATCATTAGTTAAATTCATTCATTCATTTTTGTCTGGTATGTGCAAGGCACTATAAACATAGACGTATGTCTTAGTTATCCAAACACAAAACTACATTTACAGTGTATGGACTTTGCAGGTGGCGCAGCGGTAAAGAATCCACCTGCCAATGCAGGAGACACGGGTTCAATTCCTGGGTCAGGAAGATCCCCTGGAGCAGGAAATGGTAACCCACTCCAGTATTCTTGCCTGGGAAATCCCATGGACAGAGGAGCCTGGCGAGCCACAGTCCATGGGGTCACAAAGAGTGGGAATCAATTGAGCAACTGAGTAGACAGTGTATGGACCTTAATGTCTTAAAACATCTCAGTTCCTCACAATTTCTGCTGTAAAGTACAGCATACCCAGATAGACATCGGCTATGTTAAAGCAACCCGTAAAGTGTTCTAACTAGATTTTGCTCATTTTAGACAGTAGAGCTTTTAAAATTCAAATATGGTTACTGTAGAAATTATGTGTATTGATTACATATTGCTGTGTAGCAAATTACTATCTTAGCTTCTGTGGGTCAAGAATTTGGGAGCGGCTTAGTTGGGTAGTCCTAGCTCAGGGTCTCTCAAGAGGTTGGAGAAGAATTTAATTTGAGTCCACCTTTTGAAAGGAGTGTCAAGGAATTTGAGGGCATGTTTTAAACCACCAGACTAGGTTTATTCATTGTGTGTTCACTGTAGACAAACTGGAAAATAGAGACAGGCCAAAAAAAAAAAAAAAAAAAGGAAGGAAGCAGAGAAAGCAATATCTAATGGATAACATCACTGCTTGGCTGTATATAATTCCAGTTTTTTAAATACATATAAAAAATACATATGAACTTTCTCAAAATACATACTGTATATACTATTTTATAATCTGCTCTTTCACTTAGTATTTTGTGAAGACAATTCTCAAGTCAGATATTCTTCTATAACATTTTTAAATGGATGCCTAACATTTCATCATATGTAGGTACTAGAACTTATTTAACTAATTCTAAATACACTGCAAGACACTTAGGGTATTTCAGGTTTTCCCTATTTTATACATTTTGTTAAACCAACATCCTTATGGCTAATTTCTTTCACATTCACGACTTTTGAAAATTCCTAGATATGGAATTCATGGAGCAAAGTCTGCAATTTTAAAGCTTCTGATAATTTATCTTAGCCTTCAGGATTTTTTTCCCTTACCTTTTGTCTCCCTCTGCAATTTTTAACTGCAATCATCAAGAGTCCACTCAGCCAAATGTCTGTATCAAATATCTGTAACAACGTCTGCAAGAGTTCTTTGCTCAAATTTTGATTACTGTTTAACTGAATTTGTGCCACTGCCTCAAGGCAACCAATGTTATCAGCTAAAGATATTTTACACACACACAATATGGTCTTTTCTCTCCATTTCACACAAATAATAGCACCTTGCACTCAATTCTGCCATTTGCTTTTTTTCTCTTGACAGTTTATCTTGTAAATCATTTCATATCAATATACAGAAAAACTTTTTGTAGCTTTATATATAGCTTTATGTTTTTCCAGTAGTCACATATGGTTGTGACAGCTGGACCATAAAGAAAGCTCAGTGCCAAATTGATGCTTTTGAACTGTGGTGTAGAAGACTTTTGAAGAGTCCCTTGGACTGCAAGGAGATCCAACCAATCCATCCTAAAGGACATCAGTCCTGAATGTTCATTGGAATGACTGATGTTGAAGCTGAAACTCCAATATTTTGGCCACATGATGCAAAGAGCTGACTCGTTTGAAAGGACCCTGATGCTGGGAAAGACTGAAGGCAGGAGGAGAAGGGGACGACAGAGGATGAGATGGTTGGATGACATCACCGACTCAATGGACATGAGTTTGAGTAAACTCCGGGAGCTGGTGATGGACAGGGAGGCAAGGCCTTCTGCAGTCCATGGGGCCGCAGAGTCGGACATGACTGCGCAATTGAACTGAACTGATAGTGTGTGTGCCATAATTTTTTTAACCTGTATTCTACTGACAGAGATTTAGACTTTTCACTCTTTTACTATCACAAAATAGCCTTGTACAAACATCTAATTTTCTCTCCTTAATTTAGGAATGAACAACTTAGCGAGGTAAAATTAAAACTGTCTCTGTTCTGGTCTGCATGCCTGTCTGTCCAAAGCTCTCCTCAGTCTAAGCTCTTCTGGTCCCAGAATGTCCTTTATAAATAAGGTTCCTAAAGCAATTATCCTTCAATTAAAAATAAGTATATAAGTAAGGTTCCTTTCTCCCATCTCTTTTTATGAATTATCCAAAGGGAAATACAAAGGCTTACCATTTACAGTTTTCATTTCTTTAAGAAATTCTGTGAAAATGAAACTGTTTTTCACAAATTTTTTGCATTATTTACCCCTCAGTTCCACATTCTGCTGTTGCCAGAAAGGCTGCTTTAAACTCTGTCACCTCTGGTGAAAGGGGGAAATTTCTGACTGACATCCAAGCAGAAATGAAGGTTCTAGCTCTGCTTTCTCTCCTCTATAAAACCCATCCCATCTCCAAGGACTTTTCCACGAAGCCCCCCACGAAACGCCACTAGTTTACTTGTCCCCTACTGCAGAGGCACTAAAATATATGGTTAAAAGCATTTTCCACCAAGTATCACTGAAGCACAGATCCTTGGGGCCTTTGCAGTTGCTGTTCTCACTGTGAGAAACGCTCTTACCCTTGGGGAGGCTTGCCTCCCTGCTTCCTTAAGGCCTCCGTTCAAATACTGGCCCTTCAAAAAAAACTCCCGCCCTCTCCGAACCCTAACTCTCTACACCTCACTTATCCTGCTTTTGCTTCCTATCACCACCATCTAATTAATATAGGTGTTTGTATCTCGCCTCTATGAATTTAAACTCCATGAAGGTAGTCTTGTTTCCTGCTCTACCTTCAGAACCTAGCTAGCACTTGGGAGATCATTCAGAACACCTTATTTCATTATCAGTGAACGAATATCATTCCAATTATGGGCACAAGTTCTATAATACACATGAAGGGGTTCGGAAATGTGTGAAATACATAAAAGTAAGGCATTATTACTGCCTAAATCTAACTTTTGTTTACTGGATGAACAGACAAAACCCAAGTAGAACCAACTCGGCTCTGTCGATCCCTAAAATTGTTCGTTTTCTTCATTTCAGTTCTTATTATGTGCCCACACAGTGCCTCAAAAAATATTTACTCAAATGAGGAACTTAATGGTGAGAAAGGTTAAGTAACTGACCCAAGGTCCAGAGACAACCACGCTAGAGGTCTGACTCACTCTCTCAAGGCTGGAGCTGACCTACCACATTAATAAGAAAACGTTTGAAGGTAGAAGCAACGGTCTTTGTGCCCTAGGAAACGGTTCTGACGCGCTAGGCCCGGACAAAATTTCCACACCCACGTCCATCTCCGGTTTTCTACAGTCCGGCCGCCGGGTTTCTGACGTCAACTGAGTGCGACGAGGCGCCGCCGTGACGCCCTGCTCTTCCTGTGACCTTCAGGCCCGCGGAGACGTCGGAAAACGGAAGGCCTGTGCGCTGATTGGCCGCGCGCTAAGGCCAGCCCCGCCTCCCAACTTCCGCTGTCGCTCTTCGCAGAATCCGCCAGGGTCTCTGAGTGTCCCGCTTGTGTACGTCGCTTAGGAGTGCAGCCAAGATGCCTCGTGGAAGCCGAAGCCGCACTTCTCGCGTGGCCCCTCCTGCCAGGTGAGACTACCGCGGGGATGGGGTCCTGCCCGTGCCGTGACACAGAGGGAGACTGTGCTCTGCCTCGGGACGGCGGGGCCTCTACGGGCGAGGGCTTCCGAAGGCTGGGGCGGCGTGGGCCTTTCTCCGGTCGCCGCAAACTGGTTATGAGGTTTTGGGTGGCTTTCCCGTTAGTGCAAACTTCCTAATTTCGAATGTCCATGAGTTATTTCTTAACATATTTTAGAGTGCATTTTATTTTAAAACATGTTAGTTCTAGAAAGTGGATATTTGTAAGTGTAATCTGGCTGAAACGTCAAAAATAGCAACAACAACAATAAGAAAAAAAATTAGAAGAAAGATGGTATAAACAGGAAAATGATCGGATCTCAGTTCAAGTAAATAACCTTTGAGCACCTTCCATAAGCAGTGAGCGTTCCGAGGGCTCAGCCCAGTGTACAGTTCCTAAGGTTTCACGTGTGCATGACGTTTCCGGTTCATAAGATACTTGTAAAATATACTGTCAGTTGCACCTCCTGATAGCCTCAGAAGGTAGGTGTTTTCCTGTTACAGGAACAAGGAAACTGGAGAAGCAGAGTAAGGGACTTGTCCAAGGTCATGCAGAGGTAGGAGATAGGTGGGCCCTGGGCCAGGCAGCTGGTATTTGTCAAGTGGAGTAAAACTGAAGCTTTGTTCTCGCCCTGATTCTAAGGACAAAGCTAGTGGCAGACGCTAAACTCTGCTGAAATGAAGAGATAAAGTGTCCTCTCCTGAGGTCAAGGAAAACTTTCCTCTCTGCACATGGGCAGAAAGGCTCCGTGGGGGTCAGAAAGAGAGGGTGTGCCACCCCGTGATAAGTGTGGAATGTACCACAGGCCTCCACGATGGGATCCATCTTAGCGAAAAGTTGCGCGCGCATCTTGGGGAGGGTTCTAGGAATAGTCACTGTGTGAAAAACAGACAAGATAATTGGCCAAATGTAAACAAAGACTCTGAAGGACTGTCCTGTATAAGTGATTTAAATCACCTCTCTACTGAGTGTGTCCCTCAGGATGCTGGCACTCCTCTCTGGGTGTGTATTTCTGCCTAGTTTCTGACTTAAGTTAAACTATATACCTGTTTTTATAGTTTTTGCCAGTTGGAAACATTTTTGCTTTCAAACAGGGGATGAGCCAGGAACTCTGCATCTAGCCTCCATCCCCTGGTGGTCTCAGTTCAATTCAGTCGCTCAGTTGTGTCCAACTCTTTGCGACCCCATGGACTGCAGCACACCAGGCCTCCCTGTCTATCATCAACTCCCTGAGTTTACTCAAACTCATGTCCATTGAGTCGGTGATGCCATCCAACCATCTCATTCTCTGTTGTCCCCTTCTTCTCCCACCTTCAATCTTTCCCAGCATCAGGGTCTTTTCAAATGAGTTGGTTCTCATTTGGCCATCAGTTTTGGCCAAAGTATTGGAGTTTCAGCTTCAACATCAGTCCTTCCAATGAACATTCAGGACTGATTTCCTTTAGGATGAGCTGGTTGGATCTCCTTGCAGTCCAAGGGACTCTCAAGAGTCTTCTGGTGGTCTAGTGGTTAGGATTCCTGATTTTCCTCCTGGACATGAAAATTCATTCCTTATTACCCTGGACAGGGAGCTAAGATCTCTCTTCAGGACCACTCACTGCTGTCCTTCTCTATGTATGGAGAAGTCAGGTCTCAGAGTTTTTTGGTGACATCTTCAAAACGTTTAGCACAGTACCCCATTGCTTCTCTCGACTAAGGTGAATTGTGTTCAGTGTGTTAGGAGTGTAGAGAAGGAGTTCAGTAATGGAAAGATGCTACTATCCAAAGGAGGGGAAGCCACATTTTTTGTGCAGTTAGACCAGATACTGGATACCACCTGATTGGATGTCATAAACTTATGACCTAGCCTCAACTGAGGGAAGAGTACTCAAGGAAACAATCTAACAAACAAACAAACAGAGAGTATAATCTATGTGAAAGATTTTTAGAGCGGTACTGGACACATTGGGTGGTGGTTTAGTCGCTAAGTTGTGTCCCATTCTTGCGACCCTGTGGACTGTTGCCTGCCAGGCTTCTCTGTCTGTGGGATTCTCCAGGCAAGAATACTGGAGTGGGTTGCCACTGGACATTTTAGTGAAGTTTTAAAGATATCCAGATGTATAACAGTCCAGGCAAGTCAGTTCCACTTGCTGGGTTTCAGTTTTCTAATCTGTGAAATGAAGGAATTGAACTAAGTTTATTTCTGTAGATGACTGTCCGTCTTTACTCAGTTGTTACCTCCCTTGAGGGTCCTAAAATTGCAATATCCCAGAACATGCTGCCCTCCCTCTCTTAATATTTTTTCCTTAACATTCACTTGATCCCTCAATGTCAGCTCCATAAAGGCAGAAGGTTTTGTCTCATGAACAGTTATATCAATTTTAATGAAGTTTTGGGATAACTGTGTTCTTAAAGATGCTATAGACTTTGTGAATACATGGACATGGTTGCAAAAAAGCAGGGAAGAGAAGTTTATACTCAGTGATTACAACCTTAACAAAAGGTTCAAGAGAGGAAATGATGTAAATAGCTTAGGGAATTATGTTCTGTGAAGTTTTCTTGTGTGTATATCGTATTTGTGTTTGATCACTTAAAACCCTGAGGTTTATTTTAATATACAAGGGTTGTCTGTTTAAGTTGACAGTTTCCAAACCTGCCTGGGAATGGGAACTTACTACTTTTTGTTCCTTTCTTTCGCAGCCGCGCGCCTCAGATGAGAGCAGCGCCCAGGCCAGCGCCCGCAGCTCAGCCACCAGCAGTGGCTCCACCATCTGCTGTTGGCTCCCCTGCCGCTGCTCCCCGGCAGCCAGGTCTGATGGCCCAGATGGCAACCACTGCTGCTGGCGTGGCTGTGGGTTCTGCCGTCGGCCACACTCTGGGTCACGCCATCACTGGGGGCTTCAGTGGAGGAAGCAGTGCTGAGCCCTCAAGACCTGATATCACTTACCAGGTAAGACTTGAGGCAGCATTCCCTTTGGTTGTGTATTTTATGAGAAAACCTAGTTGTTTGTAGGTTCCTTATGTGTCTCCACTGTCTCCATATGTGGAAAATGGTTTATCAAGAGCCACATTTGGCAGTTGAGTTAGTACCTTCCTTAGGCCAGCATCAGAAAATCATGTACATGTGGTATTTCTCCCCAAGGCATAGAATTGTAGCAGTTCATCCTGATGCACTGTCAAGCAGCCCCTTCCCCCTTATTTTGAGTGTTCTGGGGAGTTCCCTGGTGGTCCAGTGGTTAAGACTTAGTTGTTTCACAACCATGGGCCCTGGTTCAAGTCCCTGATTGGGGAACTAAGATCCCACAAGCCAGGTGGCCTGGCATAAATGAATGAATGAATGAATATAAATATATATATATTTTCCTGGTCACTCTTAACTCATCCAGTCTCAATCTTAGTTAAGTGTTCAGAAATACTTTTTGTAACTCTAATGCTCTCTGTTCTCTGATATCTTTCCTAATACTTGCCACTGCCCTTATTTCTGACATGTGAATTTTCTTCTCTAGGGAGGGTGGGCATATATTTCGTTGTATTTCTAGTGTACCTAAAGCTTGCGTTCCTCTGTTTTTCTGTAGTAATCCCATTTTTTCCTTGTTGAAACGTCACTGAACCGTTGATCTTTCGATGCCCAAACAACCACTTTAAATTGCATCTTTGTTCGTGAGTCTTTCTGACTACAACTGGAATTACAGTTGCAGTAATTACAGTTCATTTCCTTCTGCCTTTAAATTTCTTCCTATTCCATGTTAAGAGATGGGAACTTGGTAATTGGAGTCTGGTGCTAGTTTTGTTTCCCCAGTTAACCTCAAAGAGTGGCTATTTCTCTTGGTCTGGGTGTAAGTCTGATTTCCTTTCTTAATAGTCCTAAATGTTGCATGTTTGTAGGAACCTCAGGGAACCCAGCCAGCACAACTGCAACAGAATGGCCCCTGCTTCTATGAGGTGAAACAGTTTTTGGAATGTGCCCAGAGCCAGGGTGACCTTAAACTTTGCGAGGGTTTCAGCGAGGTGCTGAAACAGTGCAGATTGGCCAACGGTAGGTGACCTCTCAATTCATGATTGAACTTGGATCTGTTTCGTACACTGAATGGTAATCCTGGGCCCTGTAACACTTACGGAGTCTGTGTTTGATAAATTAAACTGACAAATTGGAGGAGATTTTGTTTACTCTAAAAATAATCTAACTCTTCTAACAAGGAGCTGTACCAGAGACCTCTAGTCATTATCTTACCTTTTGCCAGTTATCTTCTTAGTCTGATTCTTCCTTAAGCAGGTATAGATTAGTGTGCCAAGATCTTACTGTGGCTATTGCATAGCCTCAGTGCTGATTTCACCAGAGTCCAGAAATGTGCACAAGATTTGATGGAGCATTGTCAGTCTACACACCCCCTTCGAGAGATACAAGTTTATTAGATCCCTCTGAGGGACTTTGAGCTTTAGGCTCTTTGGAATATTAGCAGTCAACTTATTCTCTCTCTTGCTCTTTTTTTTTTTTTTTTTTTTTGGTAATTTCCTCCTATCAACCTAGGAATTCACCATCTATTAAAAATGCTTGTTTTCATTTTACTGCCTTTATTTATGGCAGGAAATATGGCAGAAGTTAATTTTTTCAGGTGGTTGAACTGTGGAATTAAGAGATTGCATGGCCAAGTTTTATCAGAAGTCTATGGTGAAGCTCCATCTAATACCAAAGTGACTATACTTCTGCTTCAGAACTCTGTGCCCAGAAGTACATATACCCTCTCTTTTTCAGTTGTGGCAAGTGTAGAGTTGAAGTTTGGTTGGTGACAAGATACCTAGGGCTCCCCTGGTAGCTCAGTTGGTAAAGAATCCTCCTGCAGTGCAGGAGACCCTGGTTCTATTCCTGGGTTGGGAGGATCCACTGGAGAAGGGATGGGCTACCCACTCCAGTATTCTTGGGCTTCCCTGGAGGCTAAGCTGTTAAAGAATCCTCCTGCAATGTAGGAGACCTGGGTTCAATCCTTGGGTTGGGAAAATCCCCTGGAGAAGGGAATGACTACCGACTCCACTATTCTAGCCTGGAGAATTCCATGGACTGTGTAGTCCATGGGGTCACAAAGAGTCAGACACAACTGAGCGACTTTCACTTCACTTCAAAATACCTTAAACAGTTTCTTACGAAAGAAACTAATAACCTTGGCTTTCATCCCTCCTTTCATCATTTGGAGGACTTCTGCTTTGTTGAGAACATGTAGCTAGTGCTCTTCTAACAAACCTTTTCTGTTTGCAGGATTAGCTTAATCAAGAAGTTCCAGTTGAAGACGTGAAAAATCACCTCTCGTGACCATGTTGATTTAGCATTTAAAATATAATAGTGAAGATGTGAACTGTGAGACCACCCATTAAACCTCTCCTTAATCATTAATAGCTTTTGTTCTTCACAATTGCAGTGGAAGAGGGCGTTGTCACTGTATAGAAGTTCATTGAGATGGTATTGAGTTTGGGATTGGGCAGAAGAGGTGGTTGTGGCCTCTTAAGCGTGCTTTTCTCATGTTATTGTTTGTGGTTTAATTAGAATAAAGTGATTCTTTCTAGTCACTTTTCTGTCTTTCTTAAGTAGAAGGTTATAAATCACACATGCTGAACAAAATGGATTTTGCAGGAAAACACAGCTGTCTCTACGTGTATATAGTTATAGTTTCTGGATATTAAAGCAGTGGCCACATTGTTGCTCCCCAGCAAATGTGCTGCTCCTTAAACAGGTTCCAGGTGCAGTACTGTCCTAAATCAGGAGAGTGATAAAGGAAACATGGGAGCAGAGCCATTATGCGTGCGGTCTCCATGTGGCCAGGTCAGCAGTACCTACCACTGTCACCCTGGAACATCCAGTTAATTGGTTGGAGATGGAAAATCATTCCCTTAATGCAGGTGGTTCCCCTGCCAGTGCTTTCACTCTACATAAGGCATTATGGGGCCTTCCCTGGTGATCCAGTGGTTAAGAGTCTGCCTTGCAATGCAGGGTCGTGGGTTCCATCCCTGGTCAGGGGACTGAGATCCCACATGCCACAAGGCAGCTAAGCCTGTGTGCCACAGCTAGAGTCCATGTGCTTCGATGAAAAATCCCATGTGCTGCAACTAAGACTTGACGTAGCCAAATTAAAAAAAAAATTTTTTAAATTCATTCTATTTAAGGCATGGCATGTTGCTCTTCCTGAAAGATTAAAGTTGCCTACTCCATGTTACCTTAAGGAGATGGACTCCATTTAGTGTGCATCTTTTTTTTTTTTTTTAATGAATCCAGCTCTATCCTTCACCACTCAAAATTTCATTTGCTTCTGGGAGTTGACCTCAAGTCTACATGGTCTGCAGTTTTCTGACTTTCAAATATACCTCTCAGGGCTCCCATTATCTGATTTTTATTTTCCTCTCTGTTACCATGAGGTGAGTGAAATGCTGTTGAGTGAATTATTCAGTTGTTACCTCCTATCCTCAGCAGTGTTCTCAGAGTGCCCCATTCTGTACCTAATCTAATTCAGTTCCTCAAAGAGGCCAAGACTGCATTGCCCAAGGACATAAATGACCATAGACAATTCATTCTCGTCCAGTCGCCCAGCCTATTCCCTCCTGGGTTCACCAGGGGTCTCCTTTGCCTATTTTCCTAAATGCTTAAGATCTGAGTTCATAGTGTTAATGCTGTTTATGTCCAAGGCAAGATGGTTATGTTGGGTACCCAAATAGGGTTGAAGCAGTGAATCCAAGGAAAATGAACCTCTGAAAATAAAATGCAAAAGTCTGGCTGACCTGGCCTCTCCCTGGGGGGGAACCATGACTGTACAGAAAAGGGCACAGGGAATGATTCACTAGGTGTGTTGGCCTTTTGCCCTGAGGTCAGAGGGATTTTTGTCTTGCATTGAAACTAAACTAGCATGAGTCTACAGCTTAGAATCAGGAGAGGGAAAAAAATGAGTCTTTTTGACAGTAAGAGGGGACTTAAGTGTTTTTATCCTTGGGACCAGATGTTGCATCTCAGTAAGCTGGTGGCCTTTATGGATAGACAACAAAGTCATTTACAACTCCTTTCTGTGTAGCAATTCAGCAAAGTATTTCCCTGGAATGAAAGAGATGGTGATGTGGAAAGAGCACATGGGCCTACACCTGGGGTTGACTCAGGCCCTTCTACTTGGTGACCTCATTGAACAAATCACGTTCTCTAAAACTGGCTTAATACCAGAGTTTTAGGGGCCCAAGTGAGAGTGCATTTGCAGTACATTGTAAAATGCTCATCAAGTGGGTTTTTATAGGCTCAGCATCTGTATGAAGCACAGTATTATCCGTTTCTTCATTTGGTGTATTAGAATTAGGGGTTTGAAGAACAGGTAGCTTTGGAATGAGAGAGCATTAAAAAAAGTGTCTACCGGGACTTCCCTGGTGGTCTGGTAGCTAAGACATAACGCTCCCAATGCAGAAGGCCTGAGTCAGGGATGTAGATCCCACATGCCGCAACTAGAGTCCTCATGCAAAGAAGTGACAAAGAAGATCAAAGGCCCCTCCAGCCGCAGCTAGGACTTGACACAGCCAAATAAATTATAAATAAAAAATAAATATGAAAAAGCTTAATTTGTTTGAAATATTTTTTTTAAGTGCCCTTTTTGTGCCAGCATACATTATTTCCAATTCTGTCAACCTCTTAAGCTAGAATCACACTGATGAGGACCCTCACTCAAGGAGCCCAAAGCTGCCCACAGTTAATGCCCAAGTGTTTTTCCTGGCACATGGACCTCCTCTCATTCATCAGGAACTGCTGGCTGAAAACAAAATGAGTTAAGAGTGAAATCTTGGAGGATGATCAGAGATGGAGTACTGGATAACCTTTGAGGTCTGCATTTGGTCAGGCAGCCACACAAACCGTAGCTGAGCATCTCCCCTGAGCAGTCAGGCTTGCAGGGTGGGTGCACAAGGGTGTCTCCAGGGCGCTCAGCACACAGAGAAGCCAGTACATTCCTGGCAAGCTGGCTTTGTTCTCCAGGCCTGGAGGCTGAGTGAGCTCCCGAGGGAAGACATCGCGGACTGATCACCACGTGCTGTCCTGCCTGCTCCCAGGCCACCCGAACTTCCTTCACCCTCCACCAGAGGTCACCGCCTGGTGAGACTTGGCCTGCCAAGCCTTGGCCAGCCTCCCAGCTTTGCAGTTGTGCTTTATTTTTGGCACATCAGCCTTCCGTCCTCAAGTAGAAAAGCACGAAGGAAGAACAGCAAGATACGCTACTCGGGCCGCAAGTGTCTGCTCGGGACACGCTTCAGTCCTCCGCTGTTCCTTCTCCCTGGGGAGGTCCGGGACTTTTGGGATTCCCATCCCGTTCACTCCAGGGCCTGTGAGGACATAGCGGTGAGTAGCTGGGTCAGTGAATGATAAAAGCCAGGTGGGGAGCAGGAGAGGTCATGGGGTAGAGAAGACAGAACCCTCCCAAACCCACTAGGCCTACTTCTCCCCACTTCTGACAGTAGACGAACCCAGGAGAATGGCAGCATTGACTTTTGAAAGTTATTTGTCCACAGGAGGTAGATCCCTGTGACTGTTTGCTGACTCTCAGTTTTAGGGAGCGATGTTATGTTCCAAAAAGGACTGGGCTACGTCCTCACATTTGGGGACCCTTTCCAAAGGCGTCTTGGGGGATGCAGGTGGGGGCAGTGGACAGAGGCACGAAGCTGGCCCCAAGTTAGGCCTAGAGCAAGGGGATGGGGCAAGATGCCCGCCCCCCCGCCCAGTGCCAGAACTCGGGTGAAGCTGGTTATGCCAGGGAATGGGGTACCCGAATGGGATGGCATGCCAGGCTGGGGCCGGATACACCCTCTGCGCATGGAGGGCTGGGGGAAAGGAGAGACCTCCTACCCGGCTTTGAGAGGTGGGGAGGGGGAGAACAGATGCCTGCCTTGGAACTTTACAGGACTCACCAGGAACTGGGTTAATTTTTCCGGGGAACAGACACTCCTGTGCTTAGCCAGGGTTGCTGACGAGGGTGGAGTGGAGGCAGCGCCAGGCCTGCCACTGGCAGAGGAGATTCTTGTTATTCTTGTCCTTCCCCCGGTAACCAGGCACCCAGCAGTGAGGACACCAGGCTTCCTGGAACAGCCAGCCTGTCCCCAGGCAGCCTGGGCTGCCGCCAGTCAGCAAACTGGCCCCTTGATCAGGCCAGGCCTTCTTGGACCCAGAAAGCAGGATGGAAGTGGAACCAGAGGCAGCTTTGGCTGTGCTGGGTGGAAGCTCATGCCTGTTTTCTCTCTGCCCCTCTTCCGGTCGGTACAGCATTTTCTCCATTCCTCAGATCCTCCGAGTGAGGAAGGAGTTCAGTGCCCAGTGGCCTCCACGTTCCTGAAGCAAAGCTGGCCAGCTCCTCTGGGTCCAGGCCCGAGTGTCCTGACTCCGCTCTGCCCAGAGTGCAGCGGGAACACCCAGGGCTCACTCGTCATCGTTAGGTAGGGCACGGGGCATGCTGAGGACAGGACCATCCTGTGGGCAGGAATCTGGGCCAGAGGGATACCTCTGGCCGCTGACTTACATCTGTGGAGCAGCACTAGTAATAACACCTGCCCTGGGCACAACGGGAGGGATGGTTGGGAAGTCCCAGAGACCGTCACAGTTGGATGGAGTGGGCACATGACCACGAGTGACACCAGAGGCCAGGACCAGGACTCACCCATCAAGCTCTGCATCCCTCGGAGCACCTGGCCCAGTGCTTCTCAGAGTATGAAAGAAAGAAAGGAAGGAGGAAAGGGGACTTCCTTGGTAGTCCGGTGGTTAAGACGCCAAGCTTCCAGTGCAGGGGGTGTGGGTTTGATCCCGGGTTGGGGAACTAGGATCACGCATGCCCAGTGGTGCAGCCCCCAAAATAAAATAAAACAACAATATAGGGGGGAAAAAAACTTAAAAAAGGAAGGGAAAAAAGAAGAAAGGAGGAAAGAGAACAGAGGAAGGAAGGAAGAGAGCAGGAGGGAGAGTGACAACAGAAGTCCTGGTTAAGGACAAGAGTGAGGAAGCAGCAGTGGGAAGCAGAGGAAGCCTGTCCTGGAAGGACAGGTGTTTTCCAGGTAGGACAGTTACTACTGGAGCAATAAGGTGAGATTATAGGGGCGCCGTATTTGAAGATGAAACCGTGAAGTTTCTCACCTTTTCCACAAGTGCAGAGGGCAGGCAAAGGAAAGCAGGACCAGCTTCATCTCCTCAAAGAGGAAAAGAAACAGCACTTTAATTTGTCCTTTGCAGAGTTTGTTGGTGGTTCTTCCTAAACCCAGGGGTGTGTTGGCCTTGTCAGAGCTAACCCTGGGGCCCAGTGGTCTGATGATTCCTGCCTCGAACCTGGGCTTGGACCTGGCTGACTATCTGCTGCTCCTTCTGGGGAGCAACAGCTAACAAGGAGAACATTTTGGGAGCCATGTGGTCACCTGGGGTCACAAGAGTTTATACCAGTGGGGAGAAGCAAGCTGGGCTCTTTCCAGAGCTTTCTAAAAATTCACAAGTGTTTTTAAAATTATTTTTTTATTTTAAAAAATTTATTGATTTTTAATTGAAGGGTAATTGTTTTACAGTGTTGTGTTGGTTT